TTGTTAATTTGATCCCGTATAGATAGATGGTAAAAGAGCAGTGTTCAAGGCAGACATTCTTTAATAGTTAAGCTAAAGTACTGTTTGGTTTTAAGAAGACTTTAGGGAAGATTTTTGGTTTAAGGTTTAGAGATTATCTTAGGGCAGTAGTTCTGGGGTTCATCCAGCCTCCGTGGCTCCAGAACATCTGGAGTCCATGAGAATTTGAAATTCTCTTCTGCATTTTCCCCCTTTTGATCCAGATTCTTCTATGGAATCTTTGATGAAAATGTTCAGTAATGCTAGCTGGGCACCATCCAGTTCTTCCGGTCTCATGGCAAAGGAGGCAGCTGTTCATGGAGGCAGTTAGCCACATTTCTTCCTCCTGTGCCTAACTCTTCTTCTTCCTCTGTTGCTCCAGGTGAATAGAGACTAATTGGGCTTTGGATGGCCACTTGCAAGCTTTTAAGATCGCAGGCACTATGCAGCAAATGAGGAGGTAATAACCATGTTATTAGGCGGGTTATCTGAGATGTCCTGTGAAGCCGTGATCCTAAATCTCCAAATCAAGGAACCAAATCCCATGAGGGTTTTGGTTGCATAGACACGGCCTCAGCAGCAACTTTCTGTTGTTGTTGTTGTTTTTGTAAATGTATCTGTCACACAACTTTTGCCAGTTCAACTTTTCCCAGGTGTACAACTTACTGACAGCAATTACATTAATCAGCTATGTAAGTAGAGGAGACTCTAAACAAGAGAGGAGGAAATAAAATATTTCTCTTAGGCTGGGTTCTCTAGAGAAGCAAAAGCAGTAAAGCATATAAATATATATATAGAGAGAGATTTATCTCAAGGAAATGGCTCATGCGCTTGTAGAGGCTGGAAAGTCCCAAGTCCCTGGGTCAGGTTCGAGGCTTCTCTTGACTCACATAGCTGCAGGGGTTGACGAACCCAAGACTGGCAGGTCAGACGGCAGGCTGCTAGCTCAAGTCCTGAGAACCAGAGGTCACATGATGATGAGCTGGGTACAGGATCCAGATTAATCGAGCAAGCTTTGCCAGAACGTCCATACATGTATTGGATGCAGGCCACACCCCCAAGGAAACGCCCTTTAAAACTGATTGGCTGATTAGATCACGTCATGGAGGATGACTGCATCATTACATAACTGCCAAACTACTGAGAATCATGGCCCAGCCAAATTGACACACAACCTTAACCACCACACCTTTGTTTGGCATATACCACCATGCATCGGCCATGCGCTTGTATGAGGTGGGCTACCCAAAACTGGGTTAAAATGTTATTTGATGTCATGGTGTCAATGTTTAATTATTTTAACTAAGAAATGAAAATGATAACTTTGACTACTAGTGAAATTACTTTAAAAAAAGAAAAAAACCACTCTTTTTTGGATGAGATGCTCTTGCTCAAATTATTAGGGAAGGAGCATGCTTTCCTTATTTATTTGGCCAAGGAAATGTTGCTGAGTGCAGGAAGGGCTAGGAATGGTCATATCTCCATACCCTGAACTATTATTTCAGCCAGTGGATGACTATTCACTGAAAGAGCATAATTCTCATGAGGAAGGTAAAGGAACGACAAGGCACCTGAAGGAGAAGAGGTGTAAGGAACACAGCAGACCTGTGCATCAAGCCGAAGAGGAAGGTTGCCAAATGTTCCTCCCAACCCCACTGATGCGTCTCCTTCTTTGCTTCTTTCTCAGCTGTTAAGGATAGATTAACGAGACCGTTCATGGTAACAGAACGTGCTGCAGGAAATAGGCCTGCAGAGCGTGCAAGAGGAAAGACCGTTGGGTTCCCAGAAACCCAACACCAGCTTTTCCCAGACTGACGGGCAGCATCCAAGGACAGAGTGGCCTCAGTCCTGAGCACAGGACTGCCCCAGGGCGTGGACTTTTAAAAATGAAAGTGCATTTATAGATGTGACCCTGAGGCCAGAACTTCTCACTGTTGGGCCCCACCCCTGGACAAGCACTGGGCTTACTCCAGTTTTACTGATGTGGCTGGGAAGAGAACAACTCTTGGAGATCCCTGTCACTGATGTGAATTTGTCTTTTTAAAACATTTGCTTTGTTCTGTGCTAGGCATACAGAAGAGTATGTAAAACGTTAGGTGGTATAGTTTAAAGGATAGAATGAACCCCCGTGAAGCCAACAACCAGGTTAAGAAATCAACATCACGAGTATCTTAGAAGTCCCATCTGTGCCCCTCCCCAATTGCTACACTCCCCTACCTCCCCTCAAAGGAGACCTGAATTTCAACTCTTTGTTTTAACCGATCTTTGCTTTGCTTTGTTTTATTATTGGTGCATGCATTCCTAAACAATATGTTTTTGTTTGTTGTGTATTATTAATATTTTAGTTTTAAAAAATTGAGCACCAAGCTTTGTAAGGGAAGGTCCCTATGGAAACTCTGAGGTGAAGGCCCCTAGTGTCCGAGAACGACGGGGCTCACGAAGAGTTTTAGCCTGGCTAGCTGAAGACTCATACTCTTCCACCACAAATGCTACCAAAACCAAACCAAACCCATTGCGCTGAGTGGATTCCGACTCATAGCGTCCCTCTATAAGAAGGCAGTTTTCTCACTGGTTCCTACTGGTGTGTGTCACTTTTGTAAATGGGGCTGCCATTTACAACCTCATTTATGAAGGACTCGTAGAACGTTCAGAGAGAATTGTAAAGGAGGGCTCCCTATAACATAACGCCTTGAAACTGAATGCAGAATTTTCTGGGTGAAAGGGTCATCAGATTTTCAGAGGAGTCTGTACCTCCCCTCCCCCGTAAGAATAAGGACTGCTGTCTTAAATAATGTGGAGGGTATGGTAGGTTTTTTCTTTGTTTTTAATCTATGACTGGCGAAGCTTTCTTGAAATGCGTTTGGTCCTGCCGAGTCTGAGTCCGTGTGGGCTTTCTACATTTGAGAGGCCTAACTGTTGAAAAGGCAGATGGGCAGCAAGTTACAGTCTGGGTTGTCCAGTGTGGGATCCTTGGCCTGCTGTGGGGTGAGCATGTTTTTGAGCAGGCTTTGCGTTTTCTCTGAAATCTGCATATCCCTCTCTTGACCCAGAGTAACTAGAATGCTAGAATGGAAACAAAAATCGGAATGGTTGCTGTAGTTTCAAAACAGATGACCTCACTGCCTAAGTTCCATTTTATGCTAAAGAAACCCTATCTGTTGCCTTGTAAATAATAATGGACCTTTGGGGAAACATATCCAAATACCTATTTAGTGAGGGCGGGGGAAGATTTGTCCCTGCTGAAGGGAGCTCACGGGAAACAGAATACAACCATGGTTACCGCAGCATAACCGGCTTTCCCTATGAGATAGTAATTTTAGTTTAGAAGGACTGACACTCATTTCTTCAGAGTAGGCGAGTAACTATACTTTGTGTAAGCTGACTTCATATGGAGTGCTTTCAGTTCTGTTCCAAAGGTGTGAGGGAATTTTAGAATTTTCTAACCGAAAGGCCCCTGAGGTTTTTATCTCATCCAGGCTGCTCGTTTTGAGGATGAGCTGACAGAGGTCTTGCACCGTTAGGTGATTGTCCAAGGTTGTGTTGATTTGTCAGGGCCAGCTGGAACTAGAACCCGGGACAGAGCTAATTATTTAGATGATTAGGGTTTAAATATATAATTAGATGAAGATTTAATTTAAAAAAAAAAAATAATCAAAAGCCTCATTTCCTAGAGAATTAGCATTTTGATCAACGATTTCATTTTACCAAAATAAGCATGGACAACAATCTTAGCCTACTGGCCTTTGAAACCTCCTCCTTTTTCTAGTCTTCCAAGCATTTCTGGGAAAGGTTCTGTTCTCTTGGGTCTGTAAAGCTAATGTATGGGAAAAGAGCGTTTCTTCTTGCTCTGTGTTCTTTTTGTCTCATAAATTTGAGTTTTTTTTTTGTTTTTTTTAAGGTCTTCAGGTTTCTGTTCAAAGTTTCTAGATTTTTTTCCCCCTGCTCAAACGTGAGCAGTTCTGTTTTTGTTTGTTTGTTTTTGAAGAAAATCAGAAGTTTCAGTTAGTCTGGGGGAAAGTAAGACTTTTGGGATGAAGGAGAGAGAACCAGAGGACCAGTTAAGACCCGGAACTTCAGGCTGCTTTGCCTCTTCCTGGTTAAGAGCCAAGCAGAATAAGAATAACATTTGTTTAGAAACTGAATTTTGTTAGAAAGGTAAGTTACAGGTAAATTTAAGCTTTATGGATTTGATTCTGCGATTCTGTACCTGGCCTTGCTATTACCCACTGCTAATTTTGGAGTCCCTGGGTGTGGCACCCCTGGTGGCACAGTGGTTAAGAGCTTGGCTGCTAACTACAAGGTCAGCAGTTCGAATCCATCAGGTGCTCCTTGGAAACTCTATCGGGCAGTCCTACTCTGTCCTGTAGGGTCACTATGAATCGGAATCTACTCAACGGCAACTGGTTTGGTTTGGGTGTGGCAAACGGTTAATGTGCTGGGCTGCTAACTGAAGGGCTGGCGGTTTGAGTCCACCCAGAGGCGTCTAGGAAGAGACCTGACTATGTACTTCCGAAAAATCAGCCATTGAAAAGCCTGTGGAGCGCAGTTCTACTCTGACACACGTGGAGGCGCTATGGGTTGGAATCTACTCAGTGGCATCTGGTGGTGTTGGGAGTGATTTTGGGCAGGGCCTGTCTTCTCTCTGAGCCTTGGTGTTTCTCATCTATAACAAGGGTTTGGACCTGATTGTCTCCAAGGGCCCTTTGCAGTTATGTGCCTGGGCCCCACATTGTGGGGTTTGCAGAGAGAGGTTGCTCTGGAACTGCCATTTGAGGGGTGGGTGCACCTCCGGACATTTAAGTTGGAGGGTTGTCAGCCTCAACGCTGTGAGGTAGGTACCCGGAGATGGTTTACTGCTTGGGCGTTTTCCTTCCCCGCCCTCTTTATAACCTGACACCTCCGGGTCGGCGCTGGGAGAATGACGCTTGCCCGCTCACCGCGCTGCCTGCACTGACACCCGCCATCTTTTTCTCCTTCTCCAGTGGGCTGCTGCAGGCTAACATCTGGACTTGGTTCCTGGCCCCTTGACTGCTCGGCTGCCCACAAGTTCCGGCATCAACCTGTTGAAAACCGTGAGTCATCTCCGTGTTTCTACTTTACAAGCAGCCACAGACCCCTGGGATGTCAGGGTTAGAGTCACAGGGGCCAGGACTTGCAGAATCCAGCTGGGCCTGCTTGATGGACCTTCGCCCTCACAGCCAGCCTCTCACACGCAGCATCAGGGCCTCAGAGATGGCAGCTTGCCCCTCCAGACACAGCCTTTCTGTCCCCCTACAGTCATAATGGTTGCAGGGTCTTCTGACTCCGCCTTCCTGGAGCTTCTTTGTTCTACCACCAGAGCCAAACACGCGGGCCCAGATTCTCTGCTTTTTCATCTCCGTTATAATAGCTAACAGTTCTAACAGCCATTTATGGAGTACCTATAATCCATTAGGTATTGTGCTAAGTGCTTGGCACGTGTTCTTATACCTCAGCCCTCCCAACAGCCTAGGAGGCAGGTATACCAGTTATCATCAAGTCCACTCTGACTCATGGTGACCCCCATGTGTGTCAGAGTAGAAATGTGCTCCATAGGGTTTTCAATGGCTGATTTTTCAAAAGTAAATCGCCAGACCTTTCTCCCTAGGCACCTCTGGGCGGCCTCGAACCTCCAGCCTTTCGGTTAGCAGCATGTTAACGAGTTGCGCCACCCAGGGACTCCAAGAGGTGGGCATAGTCGCTGTTTTCTGAGGCGAAGGCTGAAGGGAAGAAGGAACCCCCGGGCCAGAGTCACATAGCTGGTGTGGTCTGGGGGACCCCTGGGTGGGGCTATCTCTTCGGTCCTCTTCAGCTTTCAGGATCCTGTAGCAAGACTGGGTTATTCACGTGTGTTATTTTCTACCCTCTGTTACACACTATCCCTGGGTATGGCCCTTCCCTCTGCGGCAACTTTAAAATGTTGCTTCTGCAGCACTTTGGCCTCTTGAGTTAGGGGAGGGCCTTGGTCCATGCGGGGCGGAAATGTGCAGGGAGAGCAAAAAGTGGGTGCTCAGTTTGGAGGCCGGCTCCTTGTCCCACTTCTTCTTCCACCTCTTGGGTGAGGGAGAGGCATGATAGCTGCTGGTGGTTTGAGGATTGCAGTTACAACTTAGTCCCTGACAACTTTGGGGTTTGGAGGCCTGAGGCGAGGGTTTGGGGATTTATTCAGTTTTGTTTTTGAAGACCTTTGTTTGGCCACTCCATGGGCTTTCTGTACCAAAGACAATCTCTAAATAACCTCACTCTGTTCGGGGTTATTTTGTGTATTCTGTATTAGATACAGTTTTTTTTTTTTTTTAAATGTTTAATTTTAGAATAGTTTTAGGTTTATAGAAAAGCTACAGAGATAGCACACATAGCTCTGTGCACCTGTCACTGGTGTTTCCACTCAATAGTCTTTTCATTAATTGAGATTTTCTTGCCGCTGCTTATTAGTCAAATAAGAAAACAGGCAAGTCTTGGGGATTTTTAAAAAACATGATGGCCAGTGGCTGCCTCCCATTCTTACGGGTTTTCAGTTTTCATTAGGTGCCTCCATTTTGACCTCACATGTATGTAGAGTTCTGGGCCGAGCCAAGCCAGTGGCAAATGCAGAGCTAAGGTGAACATTGCCAGGATCCAGAACCAAGGCTCTAGAACAAGCGGAAGCTGGCTTCAGATCTGTGCTCTGCGGTGTGATAACCTTGTGCCCAGGCATGTTACCTGGGCCTCAGATTCCTCACATGGGCACCCATGACAAGTAGCTGCCCTTCTCTGAGCCTGTTCGTCACCAGAGAAAGGAGGGAGATGAGTTTACTCTGTAAGGTTGTTTTAAGGACAGATAAGAATTTGCTAAAGTCCATCTCACAGTTCTTGGAGACTTGTCCTTCAAGGATGGACTGAAGCATCCCCTTCTTCCATGTCCTTCTGTGTCTGGCTGAATTCCCTCTAACGGAGCTCTTATTCCATTGTCTGAAGCCAACTCCGTTGTCTTTTAGACAGTGAGCCCCTTGAAGACAGTTATGCTTCATCCTTCCTTATACCCCAGGGCCCCCAGCCTCAATAAACATTTGTTAAATGAACCCAACAAAGGAATTTCCTTCTTCCACTTTCTTATCTAAGCCAACCTTTTGAAGAGTGATGAATTAACTGGTGCTAACCAAAAGGTCGGAGGTTCAAATCTACCAGCCGCTCCATGGGAGAAAGATGTGGCAGTCCGCTTCTGCAAAGATTACAGCCTTGGAAACCCTATGGAGCAGTTCTACTCTGTCCTGTAGGGTTGCTATCAGTCGGAATTGACTTGATGGCAATGGGTTTGGTTTTGGTTTTTTTGCTGATGAATACTTGAGCAAACCCAGAAGTGGCCACAGGGGAAAAATTGATCTCTAATTACAAGCTTTCAGATGAAAAGAGAAGGGTAGGTGTTTCCTTGTCTTTTGTGGGCTTCAGAAGCCCTCCTCTCTGGGGTCTTCAATTATCTGAAGTAATAGAAGAGAGCTGTTGGTGCGGAGGATGCTGGGTGACCATCTAAACAATTTTACGTTCTTTCCTATAACATAGGTATTGTTTGTATTTCTTTAAAACATCCTTTTTCTTAAATAAAAATTGCACGGTAATTTACAACCTCCTTGACATTTAAAAAAAAAAATAAAAAAGGAAGGATGAAAGTATATGAAAACAGAGAGCGTCTTCTCCCATTGTCTCACTTGAGGCGCTGGTCAACATCTCCAGCCTTTCGTGGGCCTTCGTTACAGGCGTTAGGGTTGCCGGACGGACTACCTCCCCCTCTTAAGTGCCAGACTGCACTTAAAAAAATTCATAATTATGGTAAGTGTAAATTTCAGGAGACTAGGAGGCACAGATGCAGGCCTTTTTCTCCTTCAAATGCAGTGTAAGCAGTATTCACATACTTACTGTATTGCCATCCTGGCTCCCTGGCTCCGCCTCCTGGAGAAGCATCAGTCCTCCAGAATGTCCCAGCCCCAGAGCCAGCCTTGCTCACAGGCAGGAGAGGGGTGGCGCGGGGATCACAGAGGGATTTTGACTGCAGATGATGGCTGAAGTCCTCTTACATACATACCCCAGTTCCACCAAATGAGGGTGTTCTGACCTATTTTATTGCTTTTCCTCATCTGAAATTATGGGTCTATGGTGACATCCAATCACCATTCTGTCCCTCATTCGGGACCCTGAGAGGTGTCTTTCTCCCTATCTTTAAGAAATAAAGTAAAAAAAAAAAACCCACAATGAAAAAGCTTGATTCCTCTTTAGAGGGACGACTGGCTTTGAATTTGCAGGTTTTCCCTCATTTTCTGCCCTTGCACGGAGAGATCTCACGTTCCTTACGAACAATAGACAGATGAGTCCTGTTTGCTTTTGTAAGAAGGAAAAGTATTGTCATGGTGGTGTCAGGACTGTATAGAGGATTGTGCAGGGTCTCATGACCCTGTGTGTGTGAGAAAGTGTATGTTTTTAACGAAAATAATATTATAGTATAATATTCTGTGTACTGCTTTTTTAAATTTAATATACCTCAGACATCTATTCCATGTTAATTAATACAGACATAGCTGTCCTGTATTTGATGACTGCGTTTTCTTTCTTTATGCTATTTGTTATTTAATGATTCAGTCCCCGGTTGCTGGGCCTCTTCCTCCCCACCCCACTTTTGTTTTGTTTGTTTAAATATTGCAACGAGCATCCTTGCGACACTTAATTGTAGACCAGTGTGGGCATGTCTGTGGAATTTCGAGGTCTAAGGATATGGTCCTTCATAAATCCCCCTTTTATTTTATTTTTTTTCCACTTTTTTATTTTTATTTTTTTGTTTATTGTTGTAGTTTAAATGAAGTTTACATTTCAAGTTAGTATCCCATACAAAAATTTATACGTACGTTGTTATGTGACCCTAATTGCTCTCCCCATACTGTGACAGCATACTCCTCCTTTCCACCCCTGATTCCCCATGTCCATTCAACCAGCTCCTAACCCTCTCTGCCTTCCCACCTCCCCTCTGGACAGAAGCTGCCCATTTGGTCTCTTGTATCTACTTGAGCTAAGAGGCATACTCCTCACGAGTATCACTTTATGTCCCACAGTCCAGTCCAATCCCTGTCTGAAGAGTTGGCCTCGGAAATTGTTTTAGTTCTGGGCTGATAGAGAATCTGGGGGCCGTGCTTTCTGGGGTTCCTCCAGTCTCAGTCAGACCATTAAGCCTGGTCTTCTTACTAGAATTTGAGTTCTGCACCCCACCGTTCTCCTGCTCCATCAAGGACTCTCTATTGTGTTCCCCATCAGGGCAGTTATTGGTGGTAGCCAGGGACCATCTAGTTCTTCTGGTCTCAGGCTGATGAAGTCTCTGGCTTCTGTGGCCCTTTGTGTCTCTTGGGCTAATACTTCGTGTCTTTGGTGTTCTTCATTCTCCTGTACTCTATGTGGTTGGGAGCAATTGATGCATCTTAGATGGCCACTTGCAAACCTTTAAAATCCTAGCCACCACTCACCAAAGTAGGATGCAGAACATTTTCTCAATTAGCTTTGTTATGCCAGTTGACCTAGATGTCCCCTGAACGCATGGTCCACAGACTCCTGCCACTCTGTCCCTTAAAGTGTTTAATTGTATTCAGGAAACTTCTTAGATTTGGTTTAGTCCACTTGTGCTGACTTCCCCTGTAGTATGTGCTGTCCTTCCCTTCATCTAAGATAATTATTATCTACTATCTAGTTAGTAAATACCCCTCTCCCACCCTCCCCACCCGTATAACCATCAAAGAGTGTTTTCTTGAGTTTAAACCTTTTCTTGAGTTCTTATAATAGTGGTCTTGTACAATATTTGTCCTTCTCTGACTGATGAAATTCACTCAGCATGATGAGTTCTAGCTTCCTCCATGTTATGTTTCATAGCTCCATTGTTGTTCTTTATCCTTGCGTAGTATTCCATTGTGTGGATATACCAGAATTTGTTTATCCGTTTGTCCACTGATGGGCACCTAGGTTGTTTCCATCTTTTTGCTGTTGTGAACAGTGCTGCAGTGAACATGGGTGTGCATGCATCTATTCGTGTGATGGCTCTTAT